ACCCCCAGGGCAGATAACACTCAGGCATGTTCTGTGTCCCAGACATCCGCAGCAGCATGGAACCTCAGTTGCTCGTAAGGTAACCTGCTCCATAATCTACCTTTCTTGGGCTTCCCTGCCTTACTTCTTTCTCCTGTTGATGTTTTTCAGCAATCACTGCCCCAATAAACTACCTGCAAGCAAATCCAGTCTCAGGCTTCTGGGCAAGCCCAACCTGAGACAGATGGAAGATGCCTCCTGACCTGTGAGGAGCAGAGCTCATGTATGTGATTGTTTCCCAGGGACAGACCTCAGGCTCCTGTCTTAGTCAGACTCCAAATAGAACAACAGTCACAACTTCTGTTCTTCACAATATTTTGAGTGCCTCTTACTTCTCTCCTTAGGTGAATTGTATTGTATTTTATTTATTTTTTTGAGACAGAGTTTCACTCTTGTTACCCAGGCTGGAGTGCAGCAGCATGATCTCAGCTCACTGCAACCTCTGTCTCCCAGGTTCAAGTGATTCTCTTGTGTCAGCCTCCTGAGTAGCTGGGATTACAGGCATCTGCCATCATGCCTTGCTAATTTTTGTATTTTCATTTCACCATGTTGGCCATGCTGGTCTCAAACTCTGGACTTCAAGTGATCCACTCATCTTGGCCTCCCAAAGTGCTGGGATTACAGGCGTAAGCCACTGTGTCTGGTCTTTTAGGTGAATTTTAGAGAGGATGCAGGTGACTCATCCTGCATCCAGGGATGAAGCCCTGGCCATTCTAGAAACCTGCTGGGGCTCCAAAGTTCAAGGTTACCTGTCCTGCATCTGCAGGTGTGCTGAGGAAATCTGGGGAGAGTGGGGCCAATTCACACAGTTAGCACTGGTGAGACTGGTGAGGGTGTGGTATTCAGACAGCTACCCCACCTCTGAAGTAATTATCTATAGACCTGCTTTTCCTGTCTCCTGTGGGAACATTTCCAGCAATGTGAAAACCTACAAGCCTCAGGATGACCATCCAGGGTTACGGCCATGGCCCTCCCTGCTGAGAATGTGCCTGTCTGAGGTGCCACAGGAGGGCTTTGCTCTTCTAGATGCCACATTCTCTAGAACCTCCTGGTTTTCATGGCTCTGTTACCATGCGTGTAGCTAAATCCTCTTGAAAAGCCAGACTAAAAATTGTACCCTTATCCTTGATACCTCTAACAAGTTTCATTTTAATGTTATACTCCTGACCAAAGTGTTGGTAAACTCTGGTCAACTCCACAAAAACAGGTGGCTGACTGGATTTGGCTGAAGTTTGCCAACCCAAGCCAGCTACCTGTTTTTGTACAGCCTGTGAGTTAAGAATGATTGTTACATTTTTAAATGGTTGGAAAAAAAATCAAAAGAAAAATAATATTTTATGCATGTGAAAATAACATTTAAAATTTATTGTTCCTGAGTATAGTTTTATTGGAATACAGCCATGCCCACTTATTTATGTCCATGGCTGCCTTCAGGCTATGAGGGCAGACCTGAATACTTACAACAGAGACCCTATGGCCTACAAACACTAAAACATTTACTATCTTTTTTTTTTTTTTTTTTTTTTGATGGAGTCTCACTTTGTAGCCCAGGAATGCAGTGGTATGATCTTGACTCACTGCAACATTCATCTCCCACATTCAAGCAATTCTTTTGTCTCAGCCTCCTGAGTAGCTGGGATTACAGGCGTGTGCCACCATACCCAGCTAATTTTCAAATTTTTAGTAGAGCTAGGGTTTTGCCACGTTAGCCAGGCTGGTCTCAAACTCCTGACCTCAAGTGATCTGCCCACCTCGCCCTCCCAAAATGCTGGGATTATAGGCATGAGCCATCATGCCCGACCTACTATCTTGTCTTTTACCCAAACAAGTTTTCCTACCTTTTCTCTTAATAGATTAAACAGCATGCCATGTAGTTTTTATACTTGCCATGAAACTGTTCTTCAGGTTATTTTGTTCAGGTTCCCCACTTGGACAGCAGTGGGGGTGATTCTGCCCACCCCTGCCACTGGTTGCCAGGCAGGCAACGTCTGCTAGCAGTACTGCTGCTGTCTAAACTCAACCAGCAGAGGCAAACTCCTGGTGCCCTGGGGAAACACTCTGAAGGCAGGGTGGGTGACTCCACCCACCACCACCTCCCCTAGCCAGACAGGCCATGTCTGCTAGAGCTTCCAGCCCAGCGGTCCTCCTTCTGTCTAAATCCAGCTGAGGGGTGCAGCCTCCTATTGCTGCCTTTGCTGTGCAGAAGCTTTTTAACTTGATGTGATCCTGTTTGTCCATGTTTGCTTTGGTTGCCTATGCTTCTAGGGTATTACTCAAGAAATCTTTGCAGACCAATGTCCTGGAGATTTTCCTAATGGTTTTTTGTAGCAGTTTGTTGTTTGAGGTCTTAGATTTAAGTTTCTAGTCAAATTTTTGATGTGCTTTGCCTGGTTTTGGTATCACAGTAATATTGGCCTCAGAGAATGAGTCTGGTAATATTCCTTCCTCCTCTATGTTTTGGAATAGTTTCAGTAGAAATGATATTAGTTTTTTTTTTTTTTTTTTTTTTTTT